AATTCAATTTCTAAAACATTCATGTCCACGTTCCTTTCACGACGAGCTTCTAAATGTATCCATTTTAAGTGCAAGAACTAGGCTATTTGATTTCTTAAAGTTTACCTATTGGATAAACGTTCAAGGTGCATTTGCTGTGCAAATTCAAGCAAGGTTCCGATTTATGGTTGTGAGTAATCGCAAGATGCTTCAAATTCGAGTTTCCAAGTCCAAGCTTGTTCTTAATAGGATTGTTTCGCAATTAAAGATGGTTCAAGAGTAATTAAGTTCATATCTATATTCAAGTTTTTGAGTTCACGTTTCTATTTCAAGTCCGAATTCTTTTACATACAAAATTCAAATAAAATTCAAGATTACAACTTTTTTGGATTCAACTTACAAATCCTAAATCCTAAGACTATGAAATCTTCAAAGTCTTATCTTCAAGCTCCATGACTTGTTCTAGACCTGCAAACATCAAGAACAAAAGTGAACAAAATTTTTTCTAAGGATATTTAATTTAGCTCACAACCCTCGGATTACGAAATCATCATCGGGTGATTCGGAAGGGCAGCAAGGAATTGCTACCAAACCTCCGTGTTCCCAACGGCAACCAAGCAAGTCAAGGCAATAATCAATTATGTCCATGAAAGAAGAATAAAGAATTTTAGAAAAAGATGGCTTTCCAAACACGGCTCAGCATCAACACAATCCGAAAGTGGAAAGTGACAGCAAACCAAACAGCTCAATAACATTTCCAAAAACGGAAAAACAACCCACAAGAAATCCAGAAAAAAATAATATCACCATCAATGAGGTCCAAATCCGAAAGTGAAAAAATGGGACAACATCAATGGCCAAAATCAGAACATAGCAAATCACAACCATCATTAAACATAAACAGTCTCATTAATGCCATAAAAAAGATTCCGAAAATGGCAGATATCATCACCATCATCACTGTTAAAACCGAAAATCAAAATCCAACAGCCGAAATTGGAAAAGACCAGCACCATCAAAGAGTAAAACCGAAAAAGGAAGATTCCAAACAATTCCTTAGACAAAATAATCTGAAAAAGGAAATAACTTTAAGAACACCCTTCAAATCATTTTGAAAAAAGATATAAAAGAAGAAAGAAGTTTCATATCAGAGGAGGACGAAAATCATACGAAAAAAATCCTCAAATCCCACATTCGAAAAATCACAGAGAAAGCCAAAGACCTCAAAAAAATATCATCACAGGCCAAGATAAACCCAAGTTTTCACGAAAAATCGCAAAACCGAAAAACCACAAACGAAACAAAAGCTGAAAAACCCAGAAGAGAATCCGAACGCCAGCACCGTCACAAACCTCAGCAAACACAAACCCAAAAACACCACAAATCAACCGTAAGCCTCTTTTTGTTAACATTTTTGTTTGGTTTTGTGTTTTGCAGTGGCAGACAAGAAGAAGAAGAGGAATAGTCGCAAACGGACAATCAGAAGAAGAGAGTTATCGCAGCATTAGAAGAGGAAGAGAAATCGCGGCCAGAGAGAACGCATCCGAGGCGGAAGAGAGAAAACTAAAGGGCGCCGTTTTGTGCCCCTTGGGAGTTAGGGTTTACAACCCTTATCTCCCTTTCTCTTATGCCCAGTCGAGTTGGGTCTAGGGCTTCATCACCTAGCCCAACCCATTTCTTTTTTTTTTTTTTTTAGTTTTTAACTTTTATTTTATTTTGTAATATTTATAAATTAATATTAAACTAACAACTAACCTATTAACCTTTTAATATTTAAAATCTGAAAATTATCATAATAAAATTAAAAAAACAAAAATATAATTAGTTTTTAAGTTAATTTTTGGTTTAAGTTTGTTTCAATATATAATAAAAACACAAAAAATGTTCAATTTAGTAATTTAATTCAAAATTTCAATTTCTCTTTTTCATAATAAATATATAAAAAAAAACCATAAAAAATTATATTTCAAATCTAACAAACAAAAATTCAAAAGCATTTCATTTTATTTAATCTATTTAATTTAATTTTTTAGAACTTTTTAGAATTTAAGTTAATTAATTTTGTTCTATTAACTAATTCTCTCCTAATTTCCACTTAACTTAATATTTTTCTCAAAAACACAAAAATAATTGATTTGCTCCAATTCCAATTCACCACTATCTCCTGATCCACATCTAATTATTTTCTCAATTATTCTATCCAAATTTAACCTCTATAATCATTGCTTATTGTACATATTTCAAATTTCTTTATTTCATGCTATATCAATTATCATTGCTTTATCTTAACCGTTTTCGAAGGAAAGGTTTTTCGTTTGACCGCCGTGTCAATACTTTTACCCGCACCCCATCCTATCCTCTATCACCGCGTACGCGTCTAAGTTGTCGAGGACGAACCTCGACATATAATTTAGGGGTTCCTCCCCGACCCATTCTTCCAAAGGTCTCTCTGGAGGATCCAGGTCGACCTCATCCTCGCGACCTTCCTCGTCCGCCGACAAGTACCGCTCCACGTCTTCCTCATCGCGACCAACCATTTATACCTGAAAAGCAGAGGAACTCGGTGAATTTGACAGCCAAATCAAATTCACCCTTCCACCGCAATTCAAGTGAAAGGGCGTGGTCGCCCAACCGCCCATGTGACGAGTTGGGGGCGACGTTATCCCTCGAGGAGGACCAGAGAACGCACCCTTCGTCCTCGGCGTACACATCCACTTGTGCCAGGGGCATTCATCCCATTATTCCCGGGACATTCAAAGTTTTTGTCAATCCTCCCCGGAGCATTCATCGCAAGAGCCGAGGACAGACGATTTCTACCCTAATTTTGAAGGATCCTCCGGCGTATTCGTCGAAAAAACCCACAGCATTCTCAGCGCCCCCAGCGGAGCCGCCGAAAACGCCACCACAAACAACAAAAAACGCCAAGAAAGGTGCGAAAACTTACGTGATGTGAATGCAAAAAAGTTGTTGTCAGGCAGAAAAATTCCAAATGTCGAGCAGAAACGATTGAAGGTGTCGGGCAGAAAATTCTGGTGTTGAGCAGCTACAAAAAGCAAATGAGCGAAAAGACGAGTCAGGTCTACACATATATACCCCTAGCACGGGAAATGAAGCGTCGCTAGGCATTCAAGTGCCTAGGTCGTAGCCGTCACAGGAAGACACGTGGCAACCCTCCATCTTCCCTGCGTCCCTTTAACTTTTTCCCTCGACCGCGGGCACCTCCTCGACGTAGGTTCACCTGGTCGACATGATCACAGCCTGTCCTACGGATACCTGTCCGACTGATCAACGCGCCCGACACCATTCCCTACTCAAGTCATAGCTTGCACGACCATGATCAACGACTTGGGGGCTACTGTTCTGGACTGGGACGATGCTTAGAGCACCACCAAGCAGGCCCAAGCCCAGCGAGGTTGGGCCCAAGAATATCATGCTGGCGGGCAGGATCCCCGTCGAGCACAACATCTCCTCGACGGGCATAGACCAACAGCAGTCGGGCAGGACCCTTGCATCCGATCAGTCAACCTCGTTCTTCCTTATCGTCGGGCAGGACCCTCGTGTCCGACCAACCACCTCTAGCTGACCGGGGAACTCCTCGGGCCTTTCCCCATGTTCTCCACGTGTCCCTTACGCAAGGACACGTCATAAAGTAACCACCCACGTCCTAGAGATTCGGTCTTCCTCCTCCCGGATAGTGCGAAACAGTTACCCTAGGGTGAAGACCATGTGCTGGTCTTCACGATGCCACGTCAGCCCTAGCAGTTACTAACATTGGGCCTGGCAGCCCAGCCCAGTACTAGGTAACCATTGACCTTGCGCTGGGGGTTCACTATAAATACCCTCTTCACTAGAGGGTCAGGTAACTTAACTTCTTACTTTCTCTCTGTGCTTGTTTCCACTCTGCCTGTCACTTTCTTTGGCATCGGAGTGTGTTTCAGGTACACCCCCTCCTCTTCAATACTTTCGGTGAGCAGCTAGCAGATCAAGGACGCGTGGCAATTCATAGCTCTCCTTCTGGTCAGGTACGATCATATATATATATATATATATATATATATATATATATATATATATATATATATATATATATATATATATATATATATATATATATATATATATGTGTGATTCGAATCAAGAATTAAAAACCCAGAAAACTGCATATGTGATTCAAATCAAATTATTTAATGATTAAAGTCATTGATTCGAATAAGAGAAATCCATGATTCGACTCAGACTTTTCTATTATTCAAATGAGAAATACAGAGGCAATATCATGTTTTTCATGATTCAAAATAGAAATACAAAATTAATTTATAATTTTCACACTCAATTTTTTATTTAGGTAAACCAATTCTTTTATTCGAATCACACTTCAAAAAATTTAAAATTTAAGAAGAGTGAAGTGTTTATTTTAATTGAGAATTGGTAAGATTTAAATCATGCTTTCATATGTTTCTTATTTGACTAATTAACTAGAACCGTGTAGACTTTAAGCAAAAAGTTTGATTTATCCATACGTAAAAACAATTTAGCACTTAACCCTAGAATGTACAAATATATGATGAGACTCAATTACAACAAACAACCAAAAAAACAAAATTGATAAGCAACAAAAACATAAATCAAAAAAACCATAAGAGACTTAACAACTTCAAGTTAACCCTCTTTCTACTACATCGAAAATACACATTTTCCACATTAAGACATTATCTCATCATTTCACGATTATTTCTAATCCCCGAATAAAACTAACATCAAACAACACATTCTTATCCAATTTAGATAGGGTTACATTTTTTAAAATAATTGTTCTTTTTGCTTAATTTCCCCACATTCAATATTCAATATGTTTCTATTTTGTATACACACGCGATAGTAATACTATTAAAAAAAGGTTTGATGGAAGTACCTCACTAAAGATGTGGTCATTTTGAAATAGTGCTTGAACCATATTGCATACACGGGTTTATCATCACTGTCGCAGTGTGAATAACAAAGAATCGAACCATAGAGTAGAGATGGTAAACAGAGGCCTTATGGCTAGATTTCATACCAGAAAACTATCCCTCAGGATCATCACTTTCTACACCATTTTCACATTCGCTTTCTCCATCTCCATCTTCTTCATCTACGTAAGAACCTTCATAGCCGATGAAGATCAATCGCATGATCCATTTTCTCATCAATCTCGATCTCTCAAGGTACGTACGCTGCAATTCATCCTTTATTCTTCTTCCCGTTGTTCTTGTCGAATCGAATATTAGGGATCCGGAACGAATTCACAGTTTCTTTGTTGATCTTTTGGTGCGATTCGTTATACTGTTAGAGATCCAAATCTGATGCTTATTTTGTGTAGTTAAACGTGATTATTGAAATTCTATCAACTGATTTAATTTCTATCTGTAATGTAAGCGAGGGAATTTCTGCGTACATAAGCGTTTAACAGTGTTGATTATTGAAAAAGTAGCACAGGCGAAAAATGTGTGCTATAATTTGTGGAGATTCCATTGTTTGAGAAACTTGTTGGTTCTAGCTATGTTAGTTAGCATTCTACAAATCTATGTTTCACTCGCGTTTTTGGTCCTTCCTTTGTTTACTCTCAATAACCGCTGCATTTGCTACAGGTACCGGATTCGCCTAGGTACAAAGACAAACAGCTCTGGGATTCTCCTTATAGCCATGGCTTTCACCCCTGCGTCAAGCCAACTGCTAAGTATAAAGGTTCCTAGTTCCTTCATACAATAACTTGTTGAATTTTCTTATTTCACCTACTTTTACTCCTTGTATTCAATGTTTTTGTGTTTCAGCAATTAAAAGAAAGTCTGTAAATGTTTGTTTGTCAATTATACCACGGTCTTGCTATCATTTTCTAGTGATATTTGTCCGTCACCCTATTTTTCTTAAATACATTTTTATTACATCAGGTGTCCAACAATTTGAGCGCTACATGTCTGTTAGAAGTAATGGTGGACTAAACCAAATGCGAACTGGTGTAAGTAGTTTCTTTCTTCGTTTCTCGCAACGTCTTATTAGCTTGAACTCTTATTCAAAATTTAACTTCATGCTCTTGTGTCTGTAATTGTATGCACAGCACAGTCATATACTTTCATTCAATTATATGATGATTTATATTCGTGAGTGTTACTATTTCAACTTTCTTGCATCCAAATAGGTCTTTGGTTTATTCGTTGGGCATCAACTTATAGGAATTCATTTCCCCCATTGTCTTGCTTCTGGCAGCTATGAACATGATAACCTTTTCTCTCCATCTATGCAAAACTTCAGTAGTTCACTGCATATATTAATCATAATACATTGTATATGCTGAAATGCATATTAAGTATTGTCTCATCCCTACAGATTTTGGTTTGCATTGATGTCATCTTCCTTAGGATTGGGAGTTAGAGAGTGACTATGTGTGAACCTAACTTCTGTTCTACGTAAAATTTATATATATATATATATATATATTTTTTTTTTCTTCTTTTGTACATGAGTGATCAATCCTTTTTGCTATAGATAGCAGACATGGTAGCTGTGGCACATATAATGAATGCAACTTTAGTCATCCCTCAATTGGATAAACGTTCATTCTGGCAAGACTCGAGGTATTTCTGGCTATACTCTATCTCATCATCACTTGCCTCCTTAGATGCATATCTTATCTTTTTCCAATGTTATCTTCTTTATTGGGCATGTGTGCAGTGTATTCTCAGACATATTCGATGAGTTTCATTTCATTGAATCCCTGAAAGGAGATATCAGGATTGTTCAGGAACTTCCCAAGAATTTGGAAGCAGCCCCCCGGGCTAGGAAACACTTCACTTCCTGGGCTGGAGTTGGTTACTATGAAGAGATGACAAAGTTATGGAATGAGTATCAGGTACTCAAGTTTTTCCTCTATGATGAGCAACTTTTGTTGGTTCTTATTTTCTGCAGAAGGCTTCATTTTAAAATTGGCTAATCAGTAAACATACTTTTGCTTGCTTTATCTCAAATAGCTCCTGTGAGAATTAATACTTCAATTTTCTTGTATCTGGTTCGGAATATTTCTATTTGTGGAAGTAGCAGTATGACTGGTACGAGAGGCACCTTTCTGCTCCAATCCACCCCTTTATTTAGCCAATACAAAGACCTAGAGAAAGGGAAACGGGTGATAGGCTGGCTGGAAGCTCAGGGTAAAATGTAAATATATTTTCACATGGGTACAGATATGGGCATTGCAGGTTTATTACAATAGTTCATGTAGTTGGACCTTAGTTGAGATAGTCTTACCCCCCATCAAGAAAATTTAGTGATGTATTTTGCAAATATTTTGTCAGATAATATGGGGAAGCTTGGTCATGTTAGAAGGATATAAAATGCTCATCCTTTCCTGTGATAATGTTGTCATTGCCACAATGGCAATAAAAGGTAGATGAATAGCTGTGTAGTGTATACCAGCATTGTTGTTTGCTAGTATTTAAATTGCTTTGTTTTTTAATGCAATGCAATGTCAATCATGTTTCTAAAGATGCCCATTTTAGATACTGAGGACCACACTAGATTTTTTCGCTGACATTTGTGTTGCTACTACGACCCCACTTAGTGGGATAAGACTTGGTTGTTGTTGTTGTTGTATTTGTGTTGCTACTACATGCTTCTGGGCACGTGCAAACTTAATATCCATTCTCAATGGAGGGGCTTTTTAAGTTGTTGCTCAACAAAGTGATTTTCATATTTTGTCTTTCTGCTCCATAGTTAGTAGTCCAAATGTCTTAAGCGAATCATGATTTGATTTTTCAGGTGATACATGTTGCAAAATCAGATTCTCGACTTGCAAACAATGATCTTCCTCTAGACATCCAGAGGTTGAGATGCCGTGCGATGTATCATGCTCTTCGATTTTCTCCTCCTATTGAGAATCTAGGAAAGGTTAGACCTTTTTTTTGGATGCAATCTATAGGCTCATTTATATGCCATATTTATTATCTGTGCATCATATTGGGATTTAATAATGGATAAAATGCTGGGATGGAGATTAAAAAGGAAATAACCAATTCAGTTCTTCTGTATTTTTTCTTTATTGAATTATTTTGAAGCATTTTAAAGATGCAATGTAGGGAGAATAAAAAAGGTAACATGTAAATATACATATTGAAATGAACTGCTTTCCATTTTGTGCCTAAATAGAAACTGGAAAACCTCAAGAAAAATGGCCGTACTTTTAAAGAGAACGAATCAGATTCAGACTATTGTTGTTAGCATCTTTCAAAATGAAGTGTTTATGGTTCTTATGAGAAACATTGCACAAATAAGAAAGTATTGATTTAAGAGAACTTTCTTGAGGACATCTGGGATGCATGACAAATTAAATATCCATACTCTAAGATTTTGTGAGGCAACCATATGCTAGTCTCATTTGGATCTCTTTAATCATAATTATACAGTATAAGAGTTATTAATTAACAAATTTGAATTATTTAAATATTTTGAATGCTTCAATGTTAGATTCAAACCTTGCCAGTTATAGTCCAATATTTTAGTAAATCATACTAGAAAATGATGCATGTGATCCCAAGATCACAATGTCCTTCACTTTTGATGCATTTAAGATGTCTACATGGGGCTTCCTGGTAAAAATAGGTTCTGAGCATACATGACGGTTAAAAAACAGAGGTTGGTGGATCGGCTGAGATCACGCGGGGAAAGATATATTGCTCTCCATCTGAGATATGAGAAAGATATGTTGTCTTTTACTGGTTGTGCTTATGGTCTGACAGATGCAGAATCTGAAGAGCTGAGAATTTTAAGGTTAGATTAGTTATTGTATGCATGCTTAATCATTCTATCATGCATTTGAAGTATGTATGCTTAGTCCTTCTGTGGATTTTTGTAAAGAAAAATTTGTTTCAATTCTTTTAGGGAGACTACTAATTATTGGAAAGTAAAAAAGATAAACTCAACAGAGCAGAGAATTGGAGGATTTTGTCCGCTGACTCCAAAGGAGGTTGGCATTTTCCTTCAAGCTCTTGGGTTTCCCCCATCAACACTAATATACATTGCTGCAGGGGAGATCTATGGTGGCAATACCCATCTATCAGAGCTCTCTTCCCGCTTCCCTAATCTAATCTTTAAGGTGCGTAAACTATTATGTTGTCTAACTGTGTCAGCGAGTAGTTCAATAGCTCTTTGTTAAAAAAAAAGTAGTTCAGTAGCTCATAATATTTGGGTGAGGTGCAGCGTTTGCCTGATTAAGTGATTGATAAATGTTTACAGGAATCCCTTGCAACTCCTGAAGAGCTGATAGCTTTCAACAATCATGCATCTCAAAATGCTGCAGTTGATTACATAATCTCTGTAGAGAGTGATGTATTTGTTCCATCATATTCAGGAAATATGGCACGAGCTGTTGAGGGGCACCGCAGGTTCTTAGGTCACCGCAAGACAATTGACCCAGACAGGTACTAAATACAAGAAATTATAATTGTAGATTTTTTGTGTGCATGTTGATACATTCGAATTTTGAACAACCTCTAGGGATATAGTTTTTTTTTTCTTTCTTTTGACCCCGTGGCTCCTGAAATGATCATTCAAGTTTTTCTCAAGCTTGCCTTAGGATTGCATTCAGCTTTTCTCAAGCTGAATTGTCTACTTCAGTTGCATTACAATTTGATGGTATTCACCATCTCTTTCCTTTCCAATCATATCGATTGCGCATAGTATCTAAATCTTATTTGTTTGGTTCCACTGGTCTCTTTCTCTCAGACATGATGAATTCTATATGCTATGGAAGTTGAAATAATCTACTGTCTCATTCTGTATTTCATTTGCTTTGTATCGAGAAATACCTCTTGAGTTTCTTATAGTTCAGAAACTGGACCACCAAGAGGAAATGCCTTTTTTCATTTTGATTAGTCAATTTATCTCTTTAATTTTCTTATTCTTTTTATTTCCAGGAAAGGACTTGTTGGAATCTTTGATAAGCTGGAAACTGGAGGGCTAGTAGAAGGAATGGCACTGTCACAAATGGTGCAGCAGATGCACAAGAACAGGTGAATTTCTTGCATAATGCTACATAATGTTTATAATTGACCATAAAAATGGATAGTTTTGTGCTCAATAGGTTTCCTTTTCTTTTAGTCATAATGTTACATAATGACTTGATGGTTAGAAGTTAGAATTGATACATTTTTCTGTAATATAGCAGTTTTTTATTTTTGAGTCTGTATTTTTTTCCTTCAGTTTCATCTGTCATTTCCCTTTCATCTGTCCTTCAAGTCAAAATAACTTTCTTATTTTTCTTAATCATGTGTAGGCAAGGAGCTCCAAGGAAAAGACAAGGTCCATTGCCAGGAGTTAAAGGCCGGGCACGTTTCAGGACTGAAGAGTCCTTTTATGAAAATCCATACCCAGAGTGTATATGTGGTTCAAGAAGCAAACTGGAAAGAACGTGAAGAGAAACCAAACTGCAGTTCCAGTTCTAGTATCATTTCCAATCTAAAACCATTGGAGGGTCTTGTTTACATGGCAAATTGTTTTAGATAGACTGTAATTGTAACTAGTCATTTCTGACTCTCATGGTTCCTCATGCCTGTTTGTGCTTTGAAGCTATGTGGTCACAGGGTTTTTGGAAATCCATACCATCAAATCCAGTTTTGACAGCCTAACTCCTTGGCTGTATTCGAGCAATTAACTTCAAGTAGCATCGAGCCATTGACCTTTATATGTTAATTCATAGAGAGAATAGACCGCCTTCCCGGTGAAGCCATTCGGAAGGCAAGCTGTTAGTTACACGTTGTAAAGTTTAATAACTTCAAATGTTTGGTTGTGTTTGACAAGCTAATCTCGTATGTCAACTTATAGTTGATATTTTTAGTGGTGAATTTTACTGCTGTCTGCTTGGTAGATTATCTTATTTTTATCCTATTAGTTTATAACTTTTTTTCCTCTACATGGTAAGAGTGCCTACAGAATGTTCAATTCACTGGGAGGAAGATTTTGAAGGACGATTGATTCTGTAGTGTTTAGATCAACAGATTGCTTTCACACCAAATGTGATTCAATTGGACGTTTGAATTCTTAATCATTTTTCCCTTTTCTTTCGAATTAAGTAGGCATAGAGTTATTATCCATAGTGTCAGCTAGAATTTCAGACGGCTTGTTTAGGAGGAAATGAATTGAGAGTTATCTTCGGTAAAAATAAGGAGAAGAGGGAACAAAAAAAATGGTTCCCAGCTTGAATAAGAAGATTGTTTTTTTTTTTTCTTTTCTTTTTAATAATGCAAAATCTTTTAAGAAAGGAAACTTAAAAATGATACTGAGCGGAAATTTGGAAGGCTTTAAATAAATGATATTGAGCGGAAATTTGGAAGGATTTAGATAAATTCTTTAAATTTAATATATTGTAATAATATTTTCAAAATTAAAAATATAGAGAAAAAATGTAATATATAGTTGTTCAGAGTAAGAGGTAAGAGTTTAAATAAAAGTAAGGGTTAAAATATATTTTTACCTTATTAACTTCATCAAGAATTTTTTGATTTGGATTGAAGGAAGCTGAAGTTTTGAAGTATTACATTTATTCGCACAAAAGTAGCTAGCTTTGTACTTATATATTTGCAAAGAATACATAGTAGGTGACATTTCCACACTGAGTAACAACATGAAAGACAGTGGAAGATGAGAGACACCTTCTCTAAAAGAATAAAGAAATAATGGTTGATTCTCCATGCTATATATGAGTGTTGTTATTTGGAGTCTAAGATCCAAAGCTAAAAGATTCTTATAAACACCTCAACTCTAAAATTGAGAAGAACATTCAATTCTATCTAAAAAACAATATAGACAAAAATCATTTGATCTTGAATTTATTTTATTTTTGCACCCCAGAGTCAAGGTCTAGGCTCTGCCACTGCCTGTATGAACTTGCTATAACACCACAACAACCCAAAAATTCTTTGAAAACCTTACAATACAAGGGATTGTCACGTATTATACTTTAACAAGTACAGTTGACATTCACCGTGGCCCCTAATAAAACTATCATGGATCACACTCATCATCATTCAACACTCGTCTTTGCCACTTTCTCCAAGAGGATGGCAAAACAAGGTTCTCAGATTATTATCAACATCATTGTCAAAGGTTTCGCCGACAAGGGAGTCTAGTTCTTCCTACATGAAGTATGTCAGACAGGTTTTGATAACTAGTAACATACCTGTCGGCCCTAAGGTAAACATAGAGAAGGAGACATAATCTAAGATCACCTTCTCCAATAAGGATGTCATCAGTATTCTCCCTCATAACAATTACTCCATGACCATCACGGTAGAATATGACAATTGTGACATGAAGCAAATAATGATTGACCCTAGAAGCTCAACAGATGTTTTGTTATAGAGCGCCTTTCACGGGATCCAACCAGATTCATATGACATTCGAACATTCAAAGGTTATCTGATTAGTCTATTAGACGAAGAGGTACATGTGAAAGGTCATATAACGCTCAAAACAATGTTTGCCTAAAAAACAAATGCAAAGTAAAACAAAATAATGTATCCCGAAGCAGATGTGTTATTCCCATACAATGTCATCCTGGGGCGGCCAGCCTTTAACTTGTTGGGGGCGGTATTGTCGGTCCTCCACTTGAGCATGAAATATTCGTTATCTAGAGGGTGAATGGGTGTGGTTCAGATATATTAGGAAGTCACCCATGAATGTTACCAAAAACAACCTAGAAATGATGAGGGATCAAATTGTCACAACTGTTGCCCCTCATCTAGATGCATAAGAAATAGACGTTGAAGGTTGGAATCCTAGATTGAAGGTAGAGGAAAAAATGCTCATTTCTATAAAAAAAACCTAGAGGAAGTTTGAATTGGCCCCTTGAACCATCAAGCCACCATACTAGGCACATATCTATTTGATTTTGATGAGGAGGAGGAGTTGGTCGCCCGATTTAGGAGGAACATAGACTTGTTTTCTTGGGAGCCATTTGACATGCCAAGAATACACATAAGAGTAGTCTATCATAAGCTCATAATTAATTCTACGATGAAACCTTTTTGTAGAGGAAACACAAGGTAATCAAGAAGAAGATTAAGGTCATTGACGAGAAGGTTCAGAAGATGAGAAACGTCGACTTTATAGCTGAGTTTAAGTACTCATCATTGTTGGCTAATGTCATCTTGGTACAGAAGTCATCAAGAAAATGACACATGTGTGTTGGCTTCACTAACCTTAATGTTGCATGCCTTAATGGCTTATATCTTTTTCACAACATAGATCGCTTGATTGATGGATCCTATGGCTACAAGATGTTGAGTTTTATGGATGCCTATTCTAGCTACAATTAAATCAAGATGGATCGTGTAGATGTGCCAAAGACAAAATTCATGTCCAACCATAACTACTACTATTACATTCTCATGCCCCCTGGTCTAAAGAACGCATGTGCCACCTATCAAAGACTCATGGATGATGTTTTCTCAAAGCAGATAGGGCGCAACATGGAATTCTACATTGATGAGATGATATTAAAAATATCATAAGGGAAGAGTCACATTGTAGGCCTAGAAGACATTCTGAAATCATTCATGAGCAACAACATGCGCCTAAATCCCTCTAAGTGTTCCTTTGGCGTACATGCAAGTAAGTTTCTAGGTTTTATGCTAACTAAGAGAGAAAGAGATATATAGGTGAAACCAGATAAGTGTTAACCCATCATCAACATGAGAATCCCTTCCAATGTTAAAGAAGTTCAACAACTAAAGCGTCATTAAGCTACCCTAGCTCGTTTCATTTCTTGTGTATCTAACATGACTTTTTATTTCTTTGTGACTTTGGAGAAAAAGGAGAAGTTTGAGTGGAAATGTGAGTTCAAGGAGGTGTTCTCAAACTTAAATACCTTTCTGGTGTCGCCTTACATTTTGACATGCCCAATAACAGGTTCACTCATCTACCTCTATCTATTTGTTACTTACCAGGTGACGATTTCGTTGCTTTTCCAAAAGAAAGACAAAGTTGAGCATCCTGTTTATTTCCTAAGCAAGATAGTTTAAGGAGATGAGGTCCGATATCAGATGATTGAGAGGTTTTCCCTAGAAGTCGTGATAATTGCAAGAAAACCCATACCTTACTTTTAAGGGCACTAGGTAATGGTAAAAACTAACTACCTCATTTAAAAAGTCCCGAAGAAGCCATATCTATTAAGAAGGATGATATCTTAGGAAAATGAATTATTTTAGTGTGACATCCATTATATACCTAAAGGAATTATCAATGCATATGTACTAGCTAATTTTCTGGTTGAGTTTAGCTTGCCAATAGACAAAGAAACCTTCTACACATGAATACTATATGTATGAGGCCTCCAATCTAAATGTAAGTGGTGTCGGGATAATGTTGGAATGACTAGATAATCTGTTGATCGAACAATATTTGAAGTTTGAATTCTAGGCTATCAACAAACAGATTGAGTAAGAAGCCCTTATCGCCGACATGGTTTTTGCCCTTGAGATGGGCGCTTTAAATATGAAGGTCTAGAGAGACTCCCAATTTGTGGAAAATCAAGTCGCTGGTTAATCTCAAATGAAGGAACCCCAACTTATCAAATATTTGAAAAAGGTACATGATTTATCCGAATGTTTCAAAGTTTTGGAAATAACGTATGTGCTAAGGGAACAAAATTTTAGGGCTGACCGTTTCTCCAAGCTCGCCAACAAAAAAAGAGCAGGACATAACCACACTGTTATTCAATAGACCATTGTCGCCCTTAGTATCGAGGCAGAAGAAACCAACACTCTTGAATTCGCCCATAATACACTATCTACAATCTAAAGAAACACCGTTGGAAGAGTTAGAAGTAAAGACAATTCAAAAGCATGCAACATAGCACACCATGATGTCAATGAAGCTTTACAAAATGAGAATGGCTTTCCTCATTCTGAGATGTATAGGAGAATATGAAATTTCCCTAGTACTGATAGAGGTACACCAAGGGAATTGCGGCAGTCACATTGGTCGGCGAGATCTAGCCCCATAAATTGCTAAATAAAGGTTTATTTTTGATCTACTACAATGAAGGATATCATAACATTCGCTAAGAAATGTGACAAATTCCATAAACACACCAGTATGCATCATGAACCAGGTGAAATCCTCCATTTTGTCATGTCGCCTTAGCCATTTTGTCAATGGGGCGTGGAGATTTTATGTACCTGTCCACTAACGCCTAACTAACTAAAATTTGTGATCGCTGGAGTAGAATATTTCATAAATTAGATAAAAGTTGAAGCCATCTCCAAGATCATAATAGAAAGAGTCTGTCACTTCTTGGCATAAACTCAAGTGTATGTTTGGTGAATGCAATTCATGAATCTCTTATTCCTTGTGTTAGCGGTCCGACACTAGAGAAAAAATGGATGTGATTCCTTGAAATGGGTCATCTTATAACAAATGCATATAATAAGGTGTGTATTGATATGACAAGATACTGATTCTCAAAAATATTTTTTCAGGAGTTCCCCACCTAAAAATCCAACCGATTGAATCATGTGTATTGGGTGGCTATCCAAATCACTGTAATTTGTTTAAGGCTCTGTTTGGTAAAACTAGCTTATAGCTGATAGCGAGTGGCTGATAGCTGATAACTGTTAGCTGGTAGCTGATAGCTTATAGATTATAGCTGATGGCTAGTAGCTGATAAATTAATTTGAGTGTTTGATAAATTAACTGTTACACTAGCTGATAATTACAAAATGACATAAAAGGATATTCTTAATAAAGAAATTGGTAATTTTATTATCTTATTATATTATATTATTAAATTAATTTTTATTCGATAAAAGTAAATGTATTAATAACAACATGCAAAACAATTTTAATATATATGAAAAATTAAAGATTTCATCAAAATATACAAATTTGCATATAAGTTTTATGAGCTTAGCTATTTAGTATGAATATATTAATAACGAAATTCAATGAATAAAAGAACCAACAAACCATACATGAAGTATGAGTATTTCATAAAGCCATTGACGAGGACATAAAAGTAAAAGTAATCCTAATAACTACAATTCTTGATTTTGTTAACTCATTCTTTCATAAAATATAGTTTTTTTCCTAATTTTATAATGAAATTTAATAAAATACTTGAAATATTAACATTGTAATTTTAAATTTAGTTATATTAACCTAAAATAATAACAAAAATTAGTTTATTGTCTAATATTTTACAATAAAATTGCAATAATATTTTGAATTTTCTTCACCTTTGTTGATTTCATTGATTCTCCTCCGATGTTTTACTAACCTAAGAATTATCAAAACTATTTTTAAATTAATTATATAATTTATATTTAGTAAATAAAAATAATGTCTAATAAAGTAGGAAAAAATAGTAAAATTTGCTATAGCATTCTTCGAAATTTCTATAAATTCAATATTTTAAAATCAATTTTTTAATTTTGTGTGTGTGTGTGTATATTATATATATATATATATATATATATATATATATATATATATATATATATATATATATATATATATATATATATATATATATATATATATATATATATATATATATATATATATATATATATATATATATATATATATATATATATATATATATATATATATATATATATATATATATATATATATATATATATATATATATATATATATATATATATATATATATATAATAAGGGTATAATTGAAATAAAAAGTCATAAGCTAAAAGTTACAAGTTCAAAAACTACTTCAAATAGCTTTTGAGAAAAAAGTTAAAAGTTAATTAAAAAGTTATTAGTTAAAAGCTAAAAAACAGTTATCAAACAAAACTTTTTAATTAAAATGAGCTGAAAAGCTAAAAGTTTTTTTTGATCTTACCAAATAAACTCTAAAGTTATTTGAAAACGAGACTCTCTGTACTATTGACATCACCGGAGTGGACAACTCATTCAATGAAGGAAGCTGAAACTTGGCCGAATTATTTTATGGATATGATGCAATATTTCACCAAGTTGAGCGAGATTGAAAGAGAATTAAATTAACAAAAGTCAAAGACATAACCACCCATAAGTATAGATTTAGACACTGACACATGTTCTGATTCATTATAGTTTTTCTCCAACAATGTATTTAGGTGGTTAGACATGTTTTGTGTGTAATGTTGGGTTAATATTAACGATGTCAAATATACACATTTTCATAGATTTTAATGTATGTTTTAGTTTTTCAAAATTTTCAACATTGTTGTGTGTTATAACAAAATTTTCAAATATAACAAATTATGTTTCTAAAACTAGTTATGTGTGAATAATAATAGGTGAACCTAGAAATATACATCCGGACCCACTCTATATTGTTAAAAAAAAAATAGTAGGATTTATTCGGAAATGCATTTCTAAACTCACTATAATTTCACTAAACGAAGCAGGATGCCTCCGGAGTACATCTTCGAAATATCTCCTGAGACAGGATTGAGTTTCTAAGGTCCATATTAATCCAAAATTTATAAACATGTGTGTCAATTAACTTGTTAGCACAAACACATAGAGAATATAAAAGATGTCTCAATATGCATATCTCACTTTTGATTACTTCAACGACGAAAAACACCCTCTTCAATTTAGATTCTTAGAGATCATCCGTCTTGTCGATCTAAACTCAAAACTAGAGAATCTTTATCCAGACAATCAAATAATTGTGAAGCTCTATTATCATTCACCCTCGATTGACAGCGATGAAAATATACAGTTCAACGAGTTTAAGCTGAAGACGGATGAATATTTAACTGTTGCGTGGAGTACATTTCATTATTACGAAACAAAGTGTCCAATCGAGCTGGATGAAAATTACGAGATTGACCGTAGATACTCTAAAGATGTTGAAATGTCCTACTTGATGATGAAATGTATTATACAATTTACATTAACGATTATCTATGTAATATTTCATTTTTTATCTGTCATAACAATTATTGATGTTACTTTATTTCTATTTTTGCATCTATGTTTGATTTAGTAGTTTTCAAAAATACATTCTCGTAAGTTAGACGAAAATACATTTCCGTATCATTTTTTGGGGTCATAAATTAGGACCTCAATCACTTATAAATTGATTGTTTGTCAATTGAGGTGTGTTTGAAAGTACATTTCCTAATTTTAGTAGTTATAGTTTTTCACTAGGATGGAGAGCAACCCTTAGGGCGGGAATAACAATCCCCTTACAAAATTTCATTTTAATGTTCGCGTATGTAGAAATTCTTAAAAAATATAACGGAGCAAAACAGATATATTAGAAAGTACATACCTAAAATTTTAATTTACTTTAAAATAAATACAGAAATATTCGACGCGTAGATCCATTTTGTCCACTCGTACATCTATTAACTAAAATTTGTTAACAAATTATCATATGGTTATTTTTATTTATATACTATAATTTGAATCTCTATCTCAAGTAAAAACACTTAATTAAAAAAAAAACCCAGCCCATACAAAAAAAAATTTGAAATAATAAGAAATGGAAAGATGAAAATCATTGGAGAAATTATTTACCCAAAAAATGAAATAAAAGAAGAGAAGATAAAAATGATATTTGCGATAAACCCCAACAAGAACCCTCAGAACGCTGAAAGCAGATAATCAGAGTGAGAGTGGCATTTGGATATGATGCTAATCACAATTTGAAACTCTTCTCCCTCTTCTCATTGCTATTCCTTCTAAACATGAATCCTCAAATAGCAAATAGTATCGATTCGCTTCAACTCCCAAAACCCTTCTTCTTCACTCAATTCCCTCATTCTTCTCTTCCTCAACGCATTTTCAGTACCAGATTTCCACGCAACAATCCTCGCAACTGCAATCTCAGAATCACCGCTTCCAATTCTCTTTCAGTTCCAGAAACATCCTCCTCCAACGAAGAAGACGCCGAGTCTGCTCAGCTATTCGAGGTTCGCATTTTTCGATTTCTATTGTTTTACTTCCAATTGGAAATAATGTATGAAATTCTTGAAGATGACAGTGCATGTTTGAAAATTGTGTGCAGAAATTGAAGGAATCGGAAAGGAAACGGGTGAGTGAGTTGGAAGAATTTGAGAGAAAGGCTGATGTTCAGTTAGATAGGCAGCTTGTTTTGGCTTCTTCATGGAACAGAGCTTTGTTGAAGTTTCGTGGAAAATTGAAGGGAACGGAATGGGATCCCGAGGATTCGCACCGGATTGATTTTAGTGATTTTTTGAAACTGCTTGATACAAATAATGTTCAGTTTATAGAGTACTCTGATTATGGACAAAACTTATCAGGTGGTGGTTTTTTCTTTGCAAGGATCTTAAATACCACGTTTTTGAAAGTTACTACGTTAGATTTCATGGTTAACAATTTAGGCACAGTTTGATTGACTTATTTGAGTTTATCTATGAGCTTAAGCTCTTGTGAGACTGTTTGGAAATTGGAAGAGCTTTTGAAAACAGCTTAGGATATGTCCTTAAGTTGTTTTCATCTTATTTTCACAAGTTTTTGATGATAGCTAATGAAAACAACTTGTGTATATGAAAACAATTTGATCTATTTTATCTTTTGTTATAGTGATAGCTTATATATAACCAGTTTTATGATAAACTTTTATGCTATAAGTGATTAATTAAGTTGTTAATTCAAACAAACTTCTGAAAGATGTGTAATTGAACTCTTTAGTTATTTCACATTATGTTATCATCATGCTTAGAAATAATTGTAATGAATGATGTATTTATTCTGTTTCGCTGTGATTGTACCTTTTGTTGCTTTTATGTAAGATACATTGAGCGGTCGATTGTTCGGTCTGGTTGAAATTTGATTTGCTGAGTGTTGCCTTTTTTATTTGTGCAGTTATTTTACCACATTATAAAAATGGGAAAACATCGGGCACTGAAGGGAATCCTAAGGATATTGTTTTCCGGCGTCACATGGTTGACCGAATGCCAATTGATTGTTGGAATGATGTTTGGGGAAAGCTGCATCAGCAAGTTGTAAATGTTGATGTCATTAATGTAGATGCTTTACCCACTGAAGTATACTCAACGATGGCAACTGCAGTCGTATGGTCTATGCGTCTTGCACTGGCTGTTGGATTTTATGTTTGGCTTGATAGTAAGATGAGGCCGATATATTCAAAGTTGATACCTTGTGATCTGGGAACTCCTCCTACCCCACTAACTAAGTTGCCGGCCTTAAGAAGACATGCACTTGGTTCTATAGGCAAGAGTCGGTCAGTGCTAATTTTCCTCTATATATCCTATCCCACTTCCCCTTGGTTGACTGAAATTTCATTTTTGTGTAGTGTTAGTTTTAGTTGGTTGATATATGTCATTCGGCTTTTAATTAAGATTTACTAGAAAATTTATCTCTTTCTTTGGTCTTAATGGCTGATGCTGGTTCTTTGTTAGAAACTTAGAACCACTATGCAGGGAAGGAAAATATGCTGTATCTTCAAATTTCTCTTCTTCCACTTGAAACTGACCAGTGATAATCGCGCATGTATCTTCAAAAGCTCTCTTTGAAACTTCCCCTTTCCCGGTCAATAGGCTGTTATGAATTTTTAACCCATAAACCTGATGTTCATTCTATAAACTTTATAGTTGTTCAACCTTTGGAACCTAATTATGATATTTGTTTAAGATTCATTGTTTAATCTTGAAACAATCATATCTAATTTTTTATTCATTTAGAAATGATTTAATACAGAACATAGCTGATAGGAAAAAAAACATAATACAAAACTTACACATTCTGTACAGAAAAAGAACCATAGAACTTTGTGATTGAGAGAGATTACAGTTGTATATCAAGTCTACTTTATCATTTGTCATACGTCATATCATATCAAGAATAAAAAGAAATAAGGAAAATATATAAAGAATAGGAAACAATCAATAATTTTTAAAAATATGAAATTTAGTAGAAACTTTCATCAGTCTCCTCAGTCTTACCCTTACGGGTAGCTAAAGAGATGCAGCATACAATTCAATTGCTGTTAGAAAAATTGTCTCAAACTTTGTGTTTGTTTCGTGTTGTTTGAATTCAGATTAGTCTTCACCTTTATGATATTTTGTGTTATTTCAAAGGGCATTTTTTTTCTTTCCAAAAACAAGGAATCTCAATTTGAACATCTTTGCAAACATTGTATTTTATAAAAAAATATGGTTTAGTGGTAAGTGGTCCATTACAACTGCTTATGTGTTGAAAGTAGTCGGACAAGTTTAATTGCAATTTCTCTAAATGAGAAGAAAATAGAAACATTTTAAAACAAATCTCTTTAGCTGGAATCTAATTATAATGCTTTCCCCTCAGGGCTAAATTTATATCTGCAGAAGAAAGAACTGGTGTTACATTTGATGATTTTGCTGGCCAGGAATATATAAAGAGGGAACTACAAGAGATTGTCCGAATTTTAAGGAATGACGAGGAGTTTCAAAACAGAGGAATTTATTGCCCAAAAGGTGTACTTCTTCATGGACCTCCTGGAACTGGTAAAACTTTACTGGCTAAAGCTATCGCAGGTGAAGCAGGGTTGCCTTTTTTTGCTGCTAGTGGCACAGATTTTGTTGAGGTACTTCCTCTTTTACTAAGAAATACATATACATAGAATGGAAGTTAGCAAGAAGTTGAACATCAAAACAAAGTATGTGTTCTAAATCTAAATCCAAAATCATTAATTTTTTCTTAAGAACAGGATTGTAGTAAATTATAGAGCAACCACCCGTTTCTTTATTCAAGTGTCATCATTTTGGTTCTTTAGTAATGAATAAATCAAAATTGCTCCTTCAAATAGACTAATTTTGATGGCTGGGATTGAGATGAAGGGACCATTTGATGTCGTTATTATTATTAAATAAAATTAGTGACATGTACCTTTGAATAACAAAAACTGTATGCTTATTCTAAAATATAACCAGGTTAACTGGAGACTTGAGCATATCTTTTATAATTTTTTTCTGAGACTTAAGCATATTAATCATTATCAAATGTTACAGTATCTAATAGGTAACCCTTCTTGCAATCATTGTATGGAATTACTTGCAATGTGCTATTTAATTATATCTAGATAATGTGCTTCACAATGTTCTTGTCTTAATGAATGAATTGTATGGTAACATATGTGTGAATAAGGGTTTGTTCCTAGAATAAGGGTTTGTTTCTAGAATAAAGGAAACAAATTAGAAATTGACTTGTTCTCATTAAAATGTAATTATTTAGTGTAATTACCAATATAGCCCTGTAACCTCTATATATACGAGAAATAATAATGAGAAAAGTATCAAGCCAAGAATTCTTGACATGGTATCAACCTCGTAGATCAAACCTGTGATTTCCTGGTTCTGATTTTTTTCTCTCTTGGTTCTGTGACAACACCCTGATCAATTCAGTTTGTTGTTTCTTCGTTTCTGCTTCTTGATCGTTCCCCGTGGAATTCGTTTAGCGTCGATTGCCATCGTGATTCTGGGTTTAGGGCTTCGGCTTACTTCGGTTGTTTGCGATCCTCCTTTCACGAATATTGATTCTAGGTCGTGACCGGTTTGTTTTTCGTGGTTATAATTTTGTTTTAATTTGGTTTGTGGTTTGTGGTTATAATTTGGTTCCGCCGCTAATTCCAAATTGAAACATTGGAATTGTTACGGCTTCACGAGTGGTACTGTTCTTGGGATATATTGGTGGTACTGCACGAGCTTTGTTCCTTTTGGTTGCAGGTTGTTATTATAATAATAATAAGTATTATAATAATTATTATTATTATAGTAATACATCATCTAATTACAACATAATTTCAATGGCTTCCGAAAAAGAAAGAGATAACTTCTGTGTTCGTTTCACCGGCAAGAATTATTCGGCTTGGGAATTTCAATTCAAGATGTATGTTAGAGGTAAGGGATTATGGAGTCACTTAGATGGTGTTTCTAAGGCCCCGACGGATAAAACTGCTTCAGATGTATGGGAAACTCAAGATGCTCAAATCATCACTTGGATTCTCAATAGTATTGATCCTCAGATGATAAATAATTTGCGCTCCTTTTCAACTGCTCAAGAAATATGGAATTATCTGAAGCGCATTTACAACCAGGACAATTCGGCAAAACGTTTTCAATTGGAGCTAGACATAGCCAACTACAAACAAGGTGACCTACCTATTCAAGAATACTATTCTGGTTTTCTGAATCTCTGGACAGAACACTCTGCTATTATACATGCTAATGTTCCCAAAACCTCTCTCACTGCTGTTCAAGAGGTCTACGACACAAGTCGGCGAGATCAATTTCTCATGAAACTTCGTCCAGAATTCGAGATTGTTAGAGGCGCTTTGCTCAATAGGAATCCTGTTCCTTCTTTGGATACTTGTGTCGGTGAACTTCTAAGGGAGGAACAACGTCTACTTACGCAAGGAACCATGTCTCATGATGCTGTTAGTTCCGAACCTGTGGCAATTGCATATGCTGCTCAAAGTAGAGGAAAGGGTCGTGATATGCGACAAGTTCAATGTTTTTCTTGCAAACAATTTGGACATGTAGCTCGCAATTGCAGTAAGAAGTTTTGCAACTATTGCAAACAACAGGGTCATATCATCTCTGACTGTCCCACACGTCCTCCCCGACCAGTACAACGTCCAACTCAAGCATTCCATGCCACTACCAACTCTGAAGTTGGTCCTCTCAGTACGGGTACCGGTAGTGTTCTACAACCTGAAATGATTCACCAAATGGTACTTTCTGCTCTTTCAGCCTTGGGAATTCAGGGTAAGTCTTCTAATAATTCTCAATCATGGTTTCTTGATTCTGGTGCATCCAATCACATGACGGGTTCCTCTAAATACTTACAAAATGTACATTCCTATAATGGTAATCAGCAAATTCAAATTGCTGATGGTAATAAACTTTCTATCACTGATGTTGGTGACATAGACTCAAACTTTCGTGACGTGCTTGTATCACCCGGACTTGCTTCCAACTTATTGTCGGTTGGTCAATTGGTGGATAACAATTGTAATGTTAGTTTTTCTCGTGTTGGTTGTCTTGTGCAGGAGCAGGTGTCGGGAAAGGTGATCGCGAAGGGGCCTAAAGTGGGAAGATTGTTTCCACTCCAGTTTAGTTCTAGTCATTTATCCTTTGCATGTAATACTGTTTTGAACTCTTATGAGGATTGGCATAGAAAATTAGGCCATCCAAATTCTGTTGTTTTGTCTCATTTATTTAAAACTGGTTTGTTGGGAAATAAACATGCGTGTACTACTCCTATTTCATGTTCTGTTTGCAAATTGGCTAAAAGTAAAATCCTCCCTTTTCCGTCAGGCGCTCATCGTGCTTCTAATTGTTTTGAGATGATTCATAGTGATGTGTGGGGAATGTCTCCTGCAACATCTCATGCTCACTATAAATATTTTGTCACATTTATTGATGATTACAGCCGCTTTACTTGGATATATTTTCTTAGATCTAAGTCTGAAGTGTTTTCTATGTTTCAGAAGTTTTTGACATATGTTGAAAATCAATTTCAAGCAAGTGTTAAAATTTTTCGATCTGACTCGGGAGGTGAGTATATGTCTCATGCATTTCAGGAATACCTTCAACAAAAAGGGATCTTGTCTCAACGGTCTTGTCCCAATACCCCTCAACAAAACGGGATGGCAGAGCGAAAGAATCGTCATTTGCTTGATGTAACACGCACATTACTTCTTCAAGCTTCTGTGCCATCCCGATTTTGGGTTGAGGCTCTTTCCACAGCCGTATTCTTGATCAATCGTCTTCCTTCTACGGTTATTGATTTTGATTCTCCCTTCTTTCGCCTTTTTAAAATTCAGCCTAGTTATAATGATTTACATATTTTTGGATGTGTTTGTTTTGTGCACTTACCTCCATTTGAAAGACATAAGCTTGGAGCACAGTCTGTTCAATGTGCGTTCATGGGGTATAGTCACTCACATAAGGGATTTGTGTGTTATGATGTCACTAACCATCGTTTTCGCATTTCTAGGAATGTGACATTTTTTGATAATCAGTTTATGTTTCCATGCGTTTCTCCTGTCATGAATGATATTGTTACTCTTCCTAAGTTCTCTATTATGCCTCAATCTATAGAGCGTTATAAACCAGGTCATGTATATGTCAGAAAACACAAACAGCAGGTTCCCACACCCTTTCCCGACGCTGAACCGCCACCTGATCCTGTAACGGTTGAACCACGACGTTCTGTTCGAATATCTCGAGCACCAGACAGATATTCACCAGACAGGTATGATTCAGCACATACTTCTCTGACTGCCACCCTCTCTGGCATATCTATTCCTACTTGTTATTCACAGGCTGTTAAAGATGTACGTTGGATAAAAGCAATGAATGAGGAACTTCAAGCTCTTCAAGAGAATTTCACATGGGATATTGTCTCTTGTCCTCCAGATGTCAAACCCATTGGCTGCAAATGGGTGTATTCTGTGAAATTGAATTCGGATGGGTCCCTCAACCGTTTCAAGGCTCGCTTGGTTGTCTTAGGAAACAAGCAGGAATATGGAATTGATTATGATGAGACATTTGCACCGGTTGCTAAAATGACATCCGTTCGTACGGTACTCTCTATAGCTGCTTCTAACGGGTGGGCTCTTTATCAATTAGATGTGAAAAATGCTTTTCTTCATGGTGACCTCGCGGAAGACATTTATATGACTCCTCCTCAAGGTTTATTTTCATCATCTAAGGGTGTGTGCAAGCTTAAACGCTCCTTATACGGTTTGAAACAAGCACCTAGAGCATGGTATGAAAAATTCCGCTCCACTCTACTTGGGTTCTCCTTTACTCAGAGTCAGTATGATTCTTCTCTATTTATTCATAGAACGTCTACTGGAATTGTCCTACTTCTTCTGTATGTTGATGATATGATTATTACTGGTTCTGACCATGCTTCCATTCAAAGCCTTAAACAGCAGTTACAAGCAGCGTTTCATATGAAAGATCTTGGTAATTTGCATTATTTTCTTGGTCTTGAGGTTCATTCTACATCCAAGGGCATATTCCTCCATCAACACAAGTATGCCACAGATTTAATTTCCATGGCTGGTCTCCAATCGGCTAATCCAGTGGATACTCCGCTTGAGGTTAATGTTAAATATCATCGTGATGATGGTGATTTGTTGCCTGATCCCTTATTGTATCGTCAACTCGTGGGTAGCCTTAATTACTTGACTATTACTCGCCCTGACATATCGTTTGCTGTTCAACAAGTAAGTCAATTCATGCACTCTCCTCGCCACCTTCACTTGGCAGCAGTTCGTCGTATAATTCGTTACTTGAAGGGAAGCTCTCATCGTGGTTTATTCTTTCCTAGTGGAGTTGCTCCTAAATTGAGTGCTTATAGTGATGCAGATTGGGCAGGGTGTCCTGATACTCGACGATCTGTCACTGGTTGGTGCATGTTTCTTGGCTCTTCATTGATCTCATGGAAAAGTAAGAAACAAGCGAGAGTCTCTAAATCTTCTACTGAATCTGAGTATCGTGCCATGTCTGCTGCTTGTTCTGAAATAATTTGGCTTCGTGGTCTTTTGGCTGAACTTGGATTTCCTCAAATAGAGCCAACTTCGCTTTATGCTGACAATACAAGTGCCATCCAAATTGTTGCGAATCCTGTTTTTCATGAACGCACCAAACATATTGAAGTTGACTGTCACTCAATTCGTGATGCTTATGATGACCGAATCATATCACTTCCTCATGTCAGTACTCAGTTGCAGATTGCAGATATTCTTACCAAGGCTGTTCCGCGTCCACGTCATCAGTTTCTTGTTAGCAAATTGATGCTTATTGACAAGCAGCATCAATTTGAGGGGGGATGTGAATAAGGGTTTGTTCCTAGAATAAGGGTTTGTTTCTAGAATAAAGGAAACAAATTAGAAATTGACTTGTTCTCATTAAAATGTAATTATTTAGTGTAATTACCAATATAGCCCTGTAACCTCTATATATACGAGAAATAATAATGAGAAAAGTATCAAGCCAAGAATTCTTGACAATATGAAGCGTGAAATATTGCATGCACAAGTGTCTTCAATTTTATAATTTATACTCAATTAATTTCGAACACCAATTATAGTCAGATTGCCTCATTCAGTTTTCCTGTTCCCAGATGTTTGTAGGGGTTGCTGCATCCCGTGTTAGAGATCTTTTTGCAAATGCAAGATCATTTGCGCCTTCTATAATCTTTATTGATGAGATTGATGCTATTGGTAGCAAGCGTGGAGGACCTGATATTGGTGGGGTAAGATACAAACAACCTTTCCCTTGTTTTTGAACTCTAAAGTCTACGTGTAAAATTTATAGAAAAAATAAGTGAACTACTTTGCACTAATATATGATCAACTTTCGAAAGGATTTTAGTTTTTGGGATAGAAGAAAATTTTTATTAAGGAAAAGAGAACGACAAGAAGGAACAAAAGATACAAATGTAATAAAGCTACCCAATTCCTCAACATATCTGTGTGGGCAGCCCTTTAAAAAAATCACGTGCTTTAGACCATATGAAAGTGTTAGAGTCAAAGTGATAGAAACATAATTCAGATAAATGGAAAATGTATTATTGATTAAAATTAAAACTATTACATAGACAAATCCCTATAATCTCAAAGCAAAGTGCTGCTCAGAGGAGAGATATTCTCACTCTGCCCAACCCAAAAGGTTTTTATCCGAAAGTACACATAATGAATTCTCCCTTGCTATCAATGTCAGAAGCAGTTATTACCAATTCTCTATTAGGTCTTTCTATTGGACTAAGGCTCAAATCCAGTATCCTATACCTACCGACGTCTAAAAAAATAGCCTTCCTCATGGCTGAGATAAGAAAAATGGCTTGAATAAATTTTATCATATGATAGAAACTCAAAATTCAGATAAATCAAATATGTATTATTGATTGAAATTAAAATTATTATAGAGACGAATCCCTATACTCTCAGGGCAAAGTGCTCCTCAGAGGAGAGATATTCTCACTTTGTCCAACCCAAAAGGTTTCTATCCGAAAATGCACACAGTGAATTCTCCCTTGCTATCGGTGTCCTTATATAACTACCCTTCCCCCTTCTGACATAAGCAGTTATAACCAATTCTCTATTAGACCTTTCTATTGGGCTAAGGCCCAAATCCAGTATCCTATCACTATATACGTCTAGAAAAATAGTCTTGTCCTCAAGGCTGAGATAAGAAAAATTGTTTGAATAAATTTGATCATTTCTAGCTACTTGTGTAACCTTGGCATGAGCAGCTTCCAAGTCATCAAAGCCTTGTGTATGAACAATTTCAATAAGACAATTGTTGTTACGGTGGACAGAAAGGGAGTAACTAGGACAATAGGTAAATGCAATTGCAATACAAACTCGAAGCTTGAAAGAAACCTACCTCTGAAGCTTGAATTCCTCTTGGACCCATTACTAACCTACCTCTGAAGCTTGAATTTCTCTTGGACCCACTACTTGAATTCTGTCTGCTTTGACACAAAGGGATTGAGTTAAGATGGTATTGTTCCCAACCGGAAGGAGGATAGCCGCTGCCAATGTAGAGGGCCCGTACCATGTAAATCACCATTTTGGCGGTTCTGGTGGTGGAGTTTCTCACAAATATACCAGGGCATGATTCAAACAGAACCATCACCGGTGGAGCCGAGATCAGTAGCTCTGACGAAGGTCACTCCAGCGGTCCCGGCGGAGGTTGTGGCTGTTCCACTAGATCCATAACCGTGTCCAATTTTTCTTCCTTTTTCAGCCTAGTTGTTTCTGTAGATACGGACTTCCGTTCTACTTCGTTCATAGTCTTCTCTAATGCTAACGTTTGGCCGATCAACGGAGGTAACGCGCATCAAGGAAGATCCACCATAAATAGACTGCTGTTCTGCAGTTTCAATTCGAGAAGGATCCTTGGGAGTGGATTTGATACCAGCATACTCAACAAAAGTTACAAGTTGTGCACGACTTGTTCCTCCCCTGTGTTGTCTGGTTTCATGGCTTGATTCTTCTCTTCCTCCATGTCTTCCTTTTCTGGTGTCACCTCTGTTTTGAACCCAGTTTTTCAATGGTTCTTTAACACATCTGTTACTGGCAATACGTTCCAACCAGAACCGATGTTTTTTGTTGGAACATAACCCAAATGCTTCGCCATCTCCGCATCAGCACTTGACAGAACTCTGACACAAAGGAACAGAGAGATTCTTCCAATCTTCCCATTCTTGTTTCTATCGCGTCAATTCTCACAGCCATTCCTGCTTCTAACACTTCTTCTTCAATCATTTTGAATGAAATGAATGCTGGCTCCCCCTCGGGAATCCGTCAGTTTCTGGCAGTTTTTGGCAGTTTCTGATAGTTATTCAGCAGTTTCCAACAGTTTCCAACAGTTATCTAACAGTTTCCGACAGTTAATTGGCAGTTTTCGACACTTATCTGGAAGTTATTTAGCAGTTTCCGACACTTTTTCTGGGAGTTTCCCAAAAGGTTTCTATCCGAAAATACATATAATGAATTCTCCCTTGCTATTGGTGTCCTTATATAACTACCCTTCCCCCTTTGACATAAAAGGGTATGTAGTTATAACCAATTCTCTATTAGGCCTTCCAGTATTCAATCACAAAGAATCAAATCCAAATATTTATCATTAGTCTTAGAGTTTGAGTTGGCCTAACTCATCCCTACAAAACTGATTTGTAAGGTGAGGATTGCCCCCACTTATAAACACAACATAGGCCATATCTCTAAGCAATGTGGGACTAAATCTACTCCTTCAAAGCCAACACAATGAAGGTGTTAGGGGATGCAACGAAGGCAAACCAAAGTGCTGCAATTAAGGCGACTAAGGGCAGACCACAATTAAGGCGGAAAGTTCAACAACCCCCCTCACGCTTGGGCTCAATGAGCCTGAAGCGTGGACGATGCGGGAAGCTTAACAAAAGATCTAGGATAGGCTCTGATACCATCTTAGAGTTTGTGTTGGGTCTAACTCATCTTTACAAAACCAGCTTGTAAGGTGAGGATTGCCCCATTTATAAACACAACATAGGCCATATCTCTAAGTAATGTGAGACTAAATCCGCCCCTTCAAAGCCAACACAATAAAGGTGTTAGGAGCTGCAATGAAGGCAAGACAAAGTGTCGCAATTAAGGCGACTAAAGGCGGACCGCAATTAAGGCGGAAAGTCCAACAATTAGGATTTGTGTTTACTATTAGGATTAGAATTAGCTAGTAGTATCAATTAATATTTATTGAATTTAGACACAAAATCACAATTTCACTGGAAGCAAATCACATAATTGTAATGTGCAGCCCTTTAAAAGGTGTGTCATTTATTTATGGGAGCAAGAGATTGGCCGTGAAGAAGAATAAAATCTGGATTTGAGTGGTAAGGAGAATTGGTTGTCACAATGTTATCAAATGTCCGCCATGGTGTATATACATGGTATTTTTTAGGCTTACTATAATGGTAAATATCGGTTGATAGTGCGAGTTTTTCTGCCATAATCTGTTATAACGGCGCCGCAAAGCGGCCGGTACGGTGGTATTTTGGCTCTCCGCCATCAACAGCACAGGTTGATCAACCATGTTAACGCATGAATTTAAGTGTTGTCTCATGGTCTCCAATAATATGTGAGCAACAAAAGTGTCGCAATAGGTGTGAGAGATTTTGAAAGGAACTGCCTGGAAACAATATCAACATTGTGATGCACATCAGTTGCTGGGAAGAAAGAGAGTGCTTAAGAAATCTAACAGTAACAATATATCTTTTGATGTCTAGATAATAGTACGGGTACAGCTAGGAGTATTCTATGAAAAGAAGCCTTGGCATTATGTGATGGACTTCTCATTTATTTTTATAAAAACATAAACAACACAAGTGTGTCTGAAGACACAAAGGAAGAGAATAAAGGTCCTGTTTTCGGGAGCAAGAGATTGAGGCAACTTTAGAGAAAAAATGATAGCGTGTAACATATTACTTCATCCGTCTCATACTAAGTGTCTCATTTGTAATACTCTCTCTACTCTCTCTGTTCACAATTATAAACAAAAATACTCCCTCCATTCTTTTTTAAGTGTCTTTTTTGATTTTTTACACGACAAAAAAGCTAATCAATATTGTTACTTTTCATACAATAATTATCTATTTACTTATAATAATCTTGATTATTTATTACATTCATTTTACTTTTTCTCTCTATGTAATAATTATTTAGGGGTAATTTTGACAAAAGTGTATTTAATACTATTTTAAACTTTACAAGTGACAATTAAAATGAAACAAAAAATTATTCCAAAAGTGACACTTATAAAGGAACTGAAGGAGTAACTACTTTTACATTGATTAAGAAAGTTAGTTAAGTGTAATTAGTTTTCTTAATTAGTTTCTGAAAAATTATTTGCAATCTTTTTCGGTTCTTGGTTCTTTTTCGGTTATGATGTTAGGACTTGAAAAATAAAGAGCGGAAAAGAGAAAGAGACACAAGAAATTTATAGTGGTTCCCCTCACACGCCGAGAGTACTCCACTCCCCTTTTGACTATAGTTTAGAATTATTGCACAGCCTATTCACACCAATGGTGAAGCCTACTATCTAATCTATATAGGTAATCCAAGTGTAGAGGAACAATCCTCTTCAAACACTTCACTTGTTTCCAACAATCCTGGATAACAAGGTAATACAAAGAATAATCTTGAAATAAGTTGATGTCTTGAGAATTTGGTGATGCTATCAATCTTGACGATCGATCTTCTCCTTAAAACAAATATTACTCAAAGAGATATACAAGTGCTCTTTTAAAAGGAAATGAAATGAAGGTGTGATAGTGTGAAAGTTTATTCAAAAAGCTTCTTTTCAAAAAACTGATCTTGAACACTTTATGAAAAATTGAGAGATGAAGAGAATGAGTGATTTTTATGATTTTGTTTCTTGGAGGTGAATTGGAATTTGAAATTTGATAGCAATTTATATTGATCAAAAACCTTTTCAAAAAGGGTGTGATTTTGTGCAGCAAACACAGTTAAAAATCAAATAGAAAGCAATGCATATTTTCATGAAAAGCTGCCATTTTTTCTTACTGTTTCAGTGTTAATCGGTTAACAAAATGGGTTAATCGGTTAACACCCTTCAACGTTTAGAAAATATTCAAAATTCACACCTGTTAATTGGTTAACCATATAGGTTAATCGGTTACCACTAGGGCTGGAAATGAGTCGAGTCGAGTCGAACTCACCTCAGCTCGGCTCGACTCGTTAAGAATTGTTCGAA